TCCTTCCTTCCTTCCTTCCTTCCTTCCTTCCTTCCTTCCCTCCCTCCCTCCCTCCCTCCCTCCCTCCCTCCCTCCCTGGCCTGTGCCTCATGCTCTCCGTCCCTCCTTCCCTTCCTCCCTCGTTGTTGTTATTGTATACAAAAGAGGACGAAGATGGTGGATTATATACATTCACTCCAGTGGTGGGATTCAATTTTTTTTTACTACTGGTTCTGTGGGCGTGGCTTGGTGGGCGTGGCAGGGGAAGGTTACTGCAAAATCTCCATTCTCTCCCCGCCCCACTAACCTGCTTTCCAGCTCCGTTCTCCTATGCAGGGCAACCAAAGAAGACCCAGCCGATCAGCTGGGACTCAATGGGAGGCAGAGAAGAGATGGGGTTGGCGGGGCCAGTCAGAGGTGGGATTTGCTGGTTCTCCAAACTACTCAAAATGTCCACTACCGGTTCTCCGGAACTGGTCAGAACCTGCTGAATTCACCACCTCTGATTCACCCCCTTGAGTTGTTAATTAAAACGAGGCATAGAAATTAAAAATAAATAAATAAATATTGCAGGAGGTGGAATTTTGGATCGGCCAGTTTCCATTCCTGTCTCCTTTGTGTGTCCGTCAGGAGAGACTTCCGATGATCATCACCCGAGTAGTAGTAACTCTTGCATAAAGTTATGTGTGAGTTAAAACCTTTGATGGTAAATATGACAGATAAATCACTTTATTTTGAAAAAAGAGTGGCCCGGAATAAGGATAGCTATGCTTAGATTACACACTACGCGCTACCCAAGAAATATTAATAATGCATTTAATCTTTCTGGGAAATAGGATTTTTATAATCATAATGATATTATATCTGCGTGCTGTGCTGATAAGTTGAAATCATATTACTTGCTAGACTTGAAGCTTTATGCATATAATAAAGGCTGGCATTCATGCTTAGAAGTGCTCTTGCCTGTTAAAAAGCATCAATTATATGTCTCTACCGCAGCGCCTGGGCGCATTATGGCTTTACCAGGAGACGCAAGTCGTGCTGAATGTTCTTCCATGTCTCAGGATGCTGGTTCCATTGAAATTTGGAACAAGACTTTAGAAAAAGTGCAGAGAAGAGCAACTAAGACGATGAAAGGCCTGGAGGCTAAAACACACAAAACACAAACGGTTGCAGGAATTGGGTATGGCTGGTCTAGAGAAAAGAAGGACTAAGGAGGACATGACGTAGCAGTCTTCCAATATTTGAGGGGCTGCCACAAAGAGAAGGGAGTCAACTTATTTTCCAAAGCAAGCAGGACAAGAAGCAACGGATGGAAACTAATCAAGGAGAAAAGCAACCTGGAATTAGATATAGAAGATATAGAATTCTTTATTGGCCAAGTGTGATTGGACACACAAGGAATTTGTCTGGGTGCAAATGCTCTCAGTGTACATAAAAGAAAAGAGACATTTGTCAAGAGTCAAGAATCATCAGGTACAACACTTAATAATAGTCATAGGGTACAATAAGAATAGAATAGAATAGAATAGAATAGAATAGAATAGAATAGAATAGAATTCTTTATTGGCCAAGTGTGATTGGACACACAAGGAATTTGTCTTTGGTGCAAATGCTCTCAATGTACATAAGAGAAAAGAGACATTCGTCAAGAGTCAAGAATCATCAGGTGCAACACTTAATAATGATAGTTATACGGTACAATAAGCAATCAAATCATACTAGGAAACAGTCAATATAAATCGTAAGGATACAAGCAACAAAGTTACCGTCCTACAGTCACAAGTGGGAGGGGATGGGTGATAAGGAGTGATGAGAAGATTAATAGTAATAGTAGTGCAGACTTTGTAAATAGTTGGACAGTGTTGAGGGAATTATTTGTTTAGCAGAGGGATGGCGTTTGGGGAAAAACCGTCCTTGTGTCTAGTTGTTCTGGTGTGCAGTACAGTGCATTAAGGAGAAACTTCCTAACAGTGAGGACAATTAGCCAGTGGAACTGCTTGCCTCCAGAAGTTGTGGATGCTCCATCACTGGAGGATTTAAAGAAGAAATTTGGACAGCCATTTATTTGTCTGGAATCCTATAGGGTCTCCTGCTTGAGCAGGGGTTGGACTAGAAGACCTCCAAGGTCCCTTCCAGCTCTTACTTTATTCTCTCCCCACCTTTTTTTTTTCTCAAAGAAGCTAAAACATATGAAGTTTGCAGAAACTGGGCATGCCCAGTCCAGAGAAAAGAAGGACCAGGGGTGACATGATAGCAGGCTTCCAATTGAAGAGGGTTTTTGCTGGCAGAGTTGCAGAAGGCCGTCACAGCTGAAAATGGAGCTCGGGAGCCCATTTTTGTGGGCAGAGGCACCGTGGGCCGATCCTTTACTGTTTCCAGGGCGGCCCCGTGGGCCCGATCTAAGCACCTTGTCGGCTGGATTCGGGCCCTGGGCCTTGAGTTTGACAGCCGTGCCTTAGGCAGACATTCCATTTTGATTGTGTACCGTTCACTTTTCTGTCTCGGTGTCAGGATTCCGGCAGTTTCGCCAATTAAATCATGAGTCTCTGCACAAATTATTGTTGTACAATAAGCACCACAAATAGCTGTTATGGAGTGATATATTTTTTTTGTTTTTAATATAATAAAAATTCAATAAAGTTTATTTAAAAAATAAATAAATCATGAGTTTCGAGCCAAACTTCCAAAACTTCAAAAGGATTTATTGGGAGTTGCCATGTCCGGCACTGCCTGGGTGTAGCCAACTCCGAGACACATCATTCATTGTCACCCTTGACCTTGGTTTTCCCCCCACCCCCTGGGTGTAGCATAATTCATATTCTCCAATGGGACACATCCATAGTCCAGAGTCCTCAATCATGCTCTCCAGTTAGACTTTGGCATGGCAGAAACTTCAGTCCCCTAGTTACTATCTCTGAAAAATTATGCATGGAATGCACTTTTGATTTCCAAGCTGCCACACTGCTCTTTCAAACCTCTTTTCCCCCCTCCCTTTCTGTTGGCAACTCTAAAAAGACCCTAGAACTGTTTTATGAGTTGACGCTCGGCTCTTTTTGCAGATTAAAACAAAACCAATCGTCCGTCCAAGATGAATTGGCCAAAGCCCTTGACCGGGAGAGGGCTGCGTCCAGCGAGCATTTGGCTAGGGCCGTCCTGCGCGAGAGAGCTTCCGCCGAAGACGAACGCATGAAGTCACAGCTCCTGGTAAGTGGTACGGTTCCTCCCAAGATTATGCGGTTGTAAAGAATTTCCTAAGATCAGGGGTCTCCCACTTTGGCAACGATAAGACTTGTGGACTTCAACTGGGGAAGTTGAAGCCCACAAGAGTTAAAAGTTCTCAAGGTTGGAGACCCCCTGCCTAAGATGGTCTGGTTGACCATGTGGACAGTCCTTGATTTACAATCTACCATTCAAAATTACAGCGGCACTGAAAAAAAAGCCAACTTAGGACCATTTTTTCACACTTAAGACTGATCAATCATTCCCCACGGTCACATGTTCAAAATTCAGACACTTGGCATCTGGTTCACATTTATGACGGTGTCCTTTTGGGATCTCCGGACAGTCAGCGGGGAAGCCGGAGTCACTTCAAAACCACGTGACTCACTTAACAACAGCAGCGATTCACTGAAAAAAAGCGACCTTCCAGCATTCCTCACGTTTACGGTGGTCTCAGCGTCCCCGCAATCTGTGATCAAAATTTGGAGGGCTGCAAGCCACGAGCCTTTACGACGGCTGCAGCGTCGCACGGAGTCGCCTGCTCTCCATTTGAGACTAGTAAAGTTAATAAGGGAAGCCAGATTCATTTAACGGCCACACGAGTCGCTTAACTGCAGTGGTTCACTTAACAATGATGGCCAAAAAAAAAAAAAAGTTTGTAAAATTGGGCCCGACTCACTTAACAGCCGCTTAGGTTTAGCAACCAACATTCTGGTTTTCAAATTTGTGGTTGCAAGTCAAGGACTGCCTGTAATCCAAAAGAAAAGATAATTTAAGAATGCCAGTTGAGATAAACTAAAGACATTAACGTTCAAATTAAGTAGATATCTATGTTTCTGTAACACGACCTCTGCATTTTACTAAAAGATAACCTAAATATCTTTTTTTGGGGGGGGAATAGAACTGCAAATTTTGCTTAAAGGCTTTTCCTGGTGGTTTTTTTTTTTTCCTCCCTTCTCTGTTACTTCCACATTCTGAAACGTGCATTTAATTTTTTAAAGTTCTTTGAGGCACTTAAAAGGAAATGTCGCAATTTTCCTTTTGAAAGTGTGGTATTGTTGGCATCATGTCAAGCTTTTCAAGTTGGGAAAGGGATGCCGGTTGATAGAACGCAGGCCATGAATGGAGCTGCAGCAAGGCTCCCATCTGTCCAACGAAAATGGACTCCGTTTGCTTTTACACCCTGAGGGAAATGTGGGTAAGATTTGTAGCCCGGGCAGCTTCCATCTTTTGGAATTTACAAACCTGTGAAAGACGGGCGGAGGGTCGTGTGAAGTCAAATAATAATGATACGGTATTCCCTATCCTTGAGCTTACAGCCCAAAAGATAGAACAGGGGTGTCAAATTTGATTTCATTGACGGCTGCATCAGGGTTGTGTTTGACCTCGGAGGGCCAAGGGGACATGGTGGCCATGACAGGGGACTTGTGTCGGGGGCACCTGTGGTGGCCAAGTGCTAATGCAGGACTTCCCTGAAACCCTCCCTCACTCTCATAATCCCTCCCTCCCTCCCTTCTGTCTGAGGCCTTCAGTAACTTCTTCTTCTGCAGCCGGCAAGGCTTTCCTGAAGGCCTCTGCAGCCTTCAGGATCGATCCAGAGCTTTGTTCTCAGCTCCAGAGGCCTTCAGGAAAGCCTTGCCGGCTCCAGAAGAAATGGGCCGGCAAGGCAGGTGTCGGGGTGTGCGAGGCCCAGCTACACCTGTCCAAAGGTAAGTACCCTGTTTCTCCAACAATACGGCCTCCCCCAATAGGAAGTCCCAGCATGTTTTATGGGCATGAAATGAAATTAAGCCCCTCCCCCCAAATTAAGGCCTATATTAAAACATGCGAAATGGTGGGAGGGCTTGCCGTTAGGAAGTACTTTTGTTGCACACCCGGATATGGTGCTGCCTGCGTTGACCCGGATACGAAGTGCCCCACCAATGCCGAGGTCAACATCCAAGCCATCGCCGCCCGCCCGCCTGAAGATGCAAGGGGGGGGAATTAAGTCACCCCCCGAAAAGACGGCCTAGCCATTTTTTCGGGGCTCAAAAAAAAATAAGACCCGGCCTTATTATATGAGAAACACAGTAGTAGGGCAGCTTCACTCCCCCCCCTCTTTCCTCACCCTAGCTTAATTTTTACCCGTGCGCTCTGGAGTGGGCGGGATCTTAATTAGGGCTTATTTTGGGGGGTAGGGCTTATATTGGGCGTGTGTGCAAAAAATCAAGCTAGGACTTACTTTCAGGGTAGGGTTTTTTTGGGGGTGGGAGAAACTGTGTTTCCAGGCCAGCCCTGCAGGCCAGATCTAAACACTCTGCGGGCTGAATCTGGTCCACTGCCCTTGAGTTTGACACTCCTGAGGTAGAACATGAAATGGGCAGGGGAAGGTTTAAACCAGGGGTGTCCAACCTTGGCAACTTTAAGACTTGTGGACTTCAACTCCAAGAATTCCTCAGCCAGCTTTGCTGGCTGAGGAATTCTGGGAGTTGAAGTCCACAAGTCTTAAAGTTGCCAAGGTTGGACACCCCTGGTTTAAAAGGAAATAATCCACGCCCTCCTCATTCCTTGGGACCTCCTAAAACCGTCATTTTAGGAGGGAGCTCTTCTATTTTACTCTTTCTCATCAAAAGCGTCTTGTGGAAAAAACTTCATTCGGACCCGCTGAGATTTATAGTCGCTGGCATAGTTTTCATAGCGGTGACATGGCTATAAATAACTTATTGACCGTCCATCAGCGGACAAATGATGAGGGCCAGGTTGAACCGCCGGAGCATCTGGAATTTAAAATGTAAATCTATGGATAACCGAGGTAGACAAAAGCCGCCGTATATCCATCTCCTTATAATGACCTGGCGTTTATCGTTCGTACGTTTGCTTCAGCACTGGGGGAAACCAGCTGGTTTTAAGACATGATGTTTTAGAAAAAACGGTTTATTGAGTTGCCACTGGTGTTAAAACCTCATTTCTTAACTGGAGAGGCAATGAAAATATATATTTCTGAACATTGGTGCCAGATACACGTTTAAAATTGGTTACAAGTAGTCCTTGGTTTACAACCCAAAATTTCTGCTGCTAAACGAGACGTTTGTCAAGTGAATTTTGCCCCATTTTATGACCTTCTTTGTCTCCCTTGCTAAGCGAGTCACCGCCGTTGATAAGTTAGCCACCCGGTTGTTAAGTAAATCTGGCTTCCCCATTGTCTTGGCTTGTCAGAAGACCCAGCAACGGTCATAAAGAGGAAGCAGTTGCCAAGAATTTTGGATCCCATGACTGTCAGGATGCGGAAAGGTCGTAACTGTGAAACACGGTCCTAGGTCTCATTTTTTTCAGTGCCATTGTAACACCGAACGGTCACTAAACGAATGGTTGTAAGGGCTGCCTGTATTTCTAAAGCAAATTGTCAGCTTTGGAAGCCATATTGAGATCCGATGCTCCCATGCTGCCACAGTTGTGCCTGGGAAAGATCACACAAGTTTTGTCTGTGGCATCTGAAGTCCACTAAACGAGTGGTGAGGTGGCCTAGAGGGTGGAACTCTGGCCTCACAATCAGGAGGCTGTGAGTTCAATCCTAGGTAGAGGCAGATATTTCTCTCTCTCGGCACAATGAGAATAGATCCGCCGAACAAAACTCCATATTGGTGACAGGAAGGGCATCCGGCCAGTAAAACACTCAGCTCCAGTATGATATTAAATTGAAAAGTAATGTTAAAGATGTTAAGACTTTAATGAATATTAATATTAATGATAGAATTGAATTGGAATGGAATGTTGTTTTAATTGTATACATTTATAATTTTTTTCTTTTTTTTAAGAATACAGTGTGTATTTTAAGAATGTACCAAGCAGAATCCGAATGGAAGTTATGTATTATATTGAATGTTACAACTTTAGGGAAAAGATATAAAGGTGTCATACTCCAATCAGTAACTACAGGAGAAATTTTGTTTAATGAGAAAAGATAATAGATAATTGAAACAGGACAGATAAAAAATATAAATACAATGATTTGAATTGAGATGAGATAATTAAAATAAAATTGAGAAAATTAAAAGAGGGGAGAAGCTATGTAGAAAATGTAAAATAGTAATATGGAATAGAATATAAAAATGAGCATGAACCTGAACTTGTGTCTGTACGAAGAAATGTAACCCGGGATTATGCTGCTTTCAAAAAAGATGTTTTCTTTGTATTTTTTTTCTCTTTGTGAAAACTCAAATAAAATTTACAAAAAAAACCAAAACACTCAGCTCCATTCAGTTGTCCAGACTCCACCTCACAAGGGATTATGGGGTCATTAAAAGGAGATGATGACACGATCTGAAGTCCACTAAATGGATGCCTGTTAAATTGGGAATTTATTGTGCTGCACGTCACAATTTTGTTAGCTCCATTTGTCACTGGCTGATCTTCGACTCCAACGAGGCTTCCGATTTCCTCCAAAAACTAATTACAACTGATTTTTTTTTATTTCCCAGATTTTCCCCTCATTTTTTTTTTGTTTTCTTCCTTTCCTGTGTTTTAAAAATGGCCAGCCTAGAAAATGCCACAGGGCAGGCATGCTAAACGAGGTGGCACGTTTTCAGTTTTTTTTAAAAAAAACCTCCCTTGTTTACAAGCCTGCAGTATTTTATTACATAGCTCATTTAGCTCATTCATCATTTTAATAGAAAAACGAGTCGTCGTCTGTGATTTTTGAAATAATTGGAGGGAAACCACGTCGGCTAAAACTGAATTACTTCTTTGAGGCCTAGCCAAGCAGGAAGACACTATAGCAGCGTAGCAGATGAAGTTCAGTAATGAGCATTTGCAATGCAGTGAAAAATATCCGTGAAATTAGTGTTCATTCCTAAAACTTAGGATGTGGGCCCTTGAACAGAATTAAGCCAATTCTGGGTTTCATGGCTAAGGCAGGATTAGAACTCCTCGTCGCCTGGTGATTGGCCCAAAGTCACCCAGTTGACTTTCATGGCTAGGGTGGGACTAGAACTCATTGTCTCCTGGTG